TTCCAATTCAATCTAAAACGTACTGACACGTTGAAATGGGTTCCCAAGAGTTCCCGGGTTGTTCATGTATTATAAATGTCAACTCGCCATAAATATTATTGCAGTAGAACGTGAGTAAACCAAGAGAACTGACAGAAACTGAGATGACGCTGGTGGTCTTGAGGCGGTCCTGATGGGACAAAATTCAATTTTGATTTGTAAGCGTGCTCGGCTTTTGTACATTATGTGTTGGTTTCCCCTAAATGCTCCGTTTTTTCCACTAAAATACTTGTTGCCCCCCCCCCACCCCCAACAATTCCCTAAAATACAATTTACCTAATAATGCTCTTCATTGTAGAGAGGTTTTTTCATTGATTTTAACGCTAACAAAAACGTATATACAATAAATAATTTTTTTTTTTTCCTTCGTCATTTTCAATTTTTTTTCTGAAAGAGTAATAATTTTCTGGGAAAATTCCTCTAAAATGCACAGTAATGCTGAAAAAGTGCTTGAAAGAATGCAGGCATAATGCGCAAAAGGCGTGAAGCGTGCCTGCTTTCTCACAGGATGTGTTTCAGTACTGATTCAACACTGTGTTGTTGCAGGTTCTTGGGGTGGAGGCAGTGCGAAAGGCAGTGGAGCGTGAGATGAACCATGTCATCTCATTTGATGGCTCTTATGTCAATTACCGTCACTTGGCTCTGCTTTGTGACATTATGACGTGTCGAGGTCATTTGATGGCCATCACAAGGCACGGTATCAATCGTCAAGAGGTTGGCGCCCTCATGAGGTGCTCTTTTGAGGAAACGGTAAGTCATGTGCATTAAAATGGTTGAAACATGAGCATTTTCAACTTGGTACACAGTTACCTGTACTTTAAAGTACTTGAAGTGCCTCCGTCTCATTTTTTATTCACTATGAAATGTAAACACTCCCCAGCCCCCCCTTCCCCCCCAAAAAAGAAACAAACAAACAAACAAAAAAATGTTACAAGACAATTCATCTTTATATGAAATACATTTTTCTTGAAAAAAAAAAAAGGCCACGGAACCTATCCCGCAGGTGCGTTGATCTATTACAGTTGTGGAACATGTTTGTTTGTGCCCAGAGAAGTGAAAAACATCCTTCATGGTTTTCCGTTTAGCTTTTGGCGCCGACGCGTCTGTTAATTCTGTGTGACCTAACTCCGGTTTGGGGTGACTTGTCGTCGGGTGAAATGACCTATATTCATTTTTTTTTCTAATCTAAGGTTGACGTTCTGATGGAAGCTGCGTCGCACGCAGAGACAGATTACCTGCGGGGTGTGAGCGAGTGCTTGATTTTAGGCAAACTGCCGCGGCTTGGAACAGGCAGCTTTGATCTGATGTTGGATGCAGAAAAGTGTAAATTTGGAATGGAGATTCCTACCAACATCATGGGGCCAGGCATGATGGGCGGGCCTATTGCAGGTGAGAGTCCAGTTGATCAAGATATAAATTGTCTTTATTTTTTTAGTGAGCTTTAAGGGATTTTATGTGTCAAATTTCACCTCATGTCTGCACTCTTGTTACTTTCGTAACACACCCTCTTGACTTGTGTCGACTGAGATACGACCACTCAGAATGCCTGGAAATGTGCTCACCTAAGGAAAAGAGCTTACCTATAAGGTCTCTCTGACGAAGCTTTTTGCTGTTGAAAAGGAGAAAGAAGAAAGATAAATGTAGTGAAATAGATGTATATTATTTTGTTCATGCTGGAAAGACCATGTCGCTGTCATGTTCCGGATGTTAACTGTCGTACTGAATGTTTTTTTTCAGGCACCGGAATGTTCTTTGGTGCTGCAGGGTCGCCGACAGCAAAGTCACCGCAAATGACGCCATGGAACAACGGAGCCACACCTGCCTACATTGACGCGTGGAGTCCTGGAATGGGCAGTGGCATGACTCCAGGGGCTGCTGGTTTTTCGCCCGCAGCTTCCGAAGCCAGCGGTTTTAGCCCTGGAGGCTACAGCCCTGCCTGGAGCCCACAGCCACACTCGCCAGCTTCTCCAGGCTTGCCTAGTAGCCCTTATATTCCCAGCCCAGTGGCAGCGAGTCCAAGCTATTCGCCATCAAGTCCTGCGTTTATGCCAAGCTCGCCTTCCCTGTCGCCGGCGAGCCCGTCCTACTCGCCGACCTCTCCTGGATACTCTCCAAGTTCACCATCAACTGGATACTCGCCAGCAAGTCCAAGTTATTCGCCAACATCTCCATCGTATTCCCCGACTTCGCCTTCCTACTCTCCCACATCCCCTTCCTACAGTCCCACGTCTCCTTCCTATTCTCCAACATCACCGTCGTATTCTCCGACATCTCCGTCTTATTCTCCAACTTCACCATCTTATTCTCCAACTTCTCCTTCTTACAGTCCCTCCTCGCCGTCTTACTCGCCCAGCTCTCCTTCGTATTCTCCAACATCGCCCTCGTATTCCCCCACATCGCCTTCATATTCGCCCACTTCCCCGTCATATTCGCCAACATCACCTTCGTATTCTCCAACGTCTCCAAGTTACAGTCCGACATCTCCATCTTATTCGCCCTCTTCTCCCTCGTACTCGCCCACCTCTCCTTCATATTCCCCGTCATCGCCATCTTATTCTCCCACATCTCCCAGCTACTCTCCGCAGTCCCCGTCGTATTCTCCAACTTCGCCTTCATACTCACCATCCTCCCCCAAGTACTCTCCAACCTCACCAAGCTACTCTCCTACCTCACCAAAGTACAGCCCCACTTCACCAACCTACTCTCCAACGTCGCCCTCCTACTCTCCTTCCTCTCCAAAGTATTCTCCTTCCTCGCCTTCTTACACCCCTACTTCTCCAACCTACTCTCCAACTTCCCCAACCTATTCACCATCATCTCCGCGCTATTCTCCAACCTCACCTCAGTACACGCCTTCCTCGCCCAAGTACAGTCCTAGCTCGCCCCATTACTCGCCAACATCTCCCACGTTTACTCCAGCATCAGCTCAGTACAGTCCAAGTTCGCCTAATTACAGTCCGGCGGGAAGTGGGCCGTCGCCTTCTCCACAGTATTCACCATCTTCACCTCGTTACTCCCCGCCTTGAGACTACTTTTGAGTCACTGAAATGCAGTCAAACTGCTATCGCAAGAAAGGACTGAAATAACACGCGGAGAGCCAATGTATGAAAAATGCAAACTGCAACTTTCGATGTGCGTGCACGAAATCAAGTACTGTTAACAAAAAAAATAAATAACAAAAAAAAGGTGCTTTACGTTCAATGCATGGATATTGCCTGTTACGTGATTAGCATAGTTAGTAATTTAAGACGATTTAGCGAGAGGTTGTTTCTACGGTGAAACGACATCTCGAAGTATTTTCAACGGTTTTTGGTGTACTGTAACGTTATAATTTGAGTACTCATCTTGCATGTTTGAAAAACAACAACGACAAAAAATTAGTTAACATTCAATACTTTTTTCATCTCAAACTAAAGGAGTAAATGACGTTTTCATTAGTAAATTATATTTATGCCAATCGTTTGTCAAGTATTTGACCGTAAAGAGCTCGTTGATATTGAGAAAATTTTGGTGATATTAGAATACGCAGATTTGAATCGTGAATTTTTTTGTCTTTAATACTCTCTTTTTATGTCTTAGTAGGAGAGAATAAAAATTCCTTTAAATTTAAGTGTAAAAACCAAAAAAAAGTTTAAAATGTGAAGGAAAGAACAACAACATATTTTGTGGATAAATGTCCCTTGTTCTATGTGGACGCGATATTGACTCAATATTTCAATAGAATAGGTTTGTAGCTGTTCAGTAATAGATACTCGCATTATCTATTCTGTTCTTACTCACTAGAGTAAGTAACAATTAGGGTACACTGTTTCATCAGTTATGACTGCACTTATGCATTAGAATTTTTTCGCTACCTAAGTTTTAAATAAGGAAGTTACTTATTAATCCCTTTGCGTGGTATCGCCCGTTAGAACCCTAAAATAATAATAGCAATATTGGTATCTTAAAGCAGTTGTTGTATAGTTTTCTTTGAAAACAAAACATGAAATAGTTGTTTTTGGTATATCCCAGCACTAACTTGTGGTGGCGTTTAGACTCTGCCGGTAGTTTTTTTCTCTCTTTTCCTTTTATTCGAGAATGGTGGCTTTTGTCGCTTACGTCACTGAATTGTAGTATTTCGAAATTCTGTGATAGTTGCGTAAAATGACACGATCAAAAAATAAGAATTTTTTCCTGGTTATGTTAGCTTTGTCATGTATCCAGTATTGTAATGCATGTCATGCAATGAAAAATGTAGTTACGTCCCTTGTTTAGCGTTAAAATGTGATTATCGTTGTTTCAAAGTAGACAGACTGCAAATTATAGTAGTTGCTAAAAAATATACCTACGTGTCCTAGCCTGCGGATACAGTTCCCTTAATCATTATAATCCGTTGTGGACGCTCGACTGAGAGAGACAGCAGTTGCTCGCTGTCACGAACGCATGACCGTGCTTAGGTTGGCGTCCAGTAGAAGCGAGACAACGCTGTATGCAGGCATGGGTGCATACCCGAATTTCTAGCTTAAGAGTTTTTTTTTGAAAAGTCTTCATTGAGGCCGGGTAGCTGTATTTCTTGGTTGAGCAGGGGTACCTTACGCTTCCTTTATAATAAGACTATCGCCATTCAAATACCAGCTGATACTTTATTGCTAGTTCTATGTAAGATCGACTTTTTTTGTCGAGGGAGCAGACTATAGGGAATCCCTGCAAGATACCAGGAATACTCAGCGTTAAAATTGGCTTTAGCCTGTTCGACTGGGCGATCAGGTGGTCGTACGTGGCAAGCCCATAAGGAAAATGACTGACTTTTTTTTTCTCCAGCGTTCTACTATCTGAGTGCCTGGAACAGGCTAAAGTGGCTTATGAGCTGTAAGAAATAGCTTATTGAAATATTGTCATTTCCTGTTGTAGAGTTAAATAAATATTTTAATTAAAGAACTTGTTTATTTTAGTTTTGTTTGATTTATCGTGTTTCCTGGAGGAAATATTCAGATGTGGTCGGTCATATAAAATGGAGAAAAAGTCCCCAGCCTTTATATCCATTTTCATGATTTTCAGCGCGTTCCTCGTCCATAGATGGCGTCCTGCCATCGAGCGCTAAAGACAAGCCTGTTTCTTAGAGTAACAAACAAACCAACCCTACCTGGCGCTATCTCGAGAGACACTAGAGTCTCTCTTATAACAATCTGAGAACGGAAATGAATTATCAGGAATATTGGCGCGTATGACTAGAAAAGCCAAGCGTCAGTTGAGGCTTTCGTAGTTGTAATACCTTTTTCCAAATGGGTTGGCTTGAAGGTTATTTTCGTATAAAAACATTCGCCATATTGTGAAAAACTTTAAAGGCTTAAGAGGGAAATGGAAACAGTGTTTTTGCACATTTGAGATGCAGCAAGTTTAGTTTCAATAAAAGTTTTTACCTCGAAAGAGGATCTTGATTTCTAGTGCATATGACAGCCATGTGATGACACTCAATTCTTCGTTCTGGGTAGTCAACCTTATTTTCTCTTCCTAACGTTAAAAAAAGGAATAACTTTAATCAGATTAGAACCCATACAAGGCAAGATTATGGGCTACTGTTTTGGGTTGATCCGGGCGAGACATACATCATCGGAAGTATTGCTTCGCCTTATTCCGAGAGATCCTATATTTTTATTAACACCCCAATATAACAAGGCCTTTTTGTCATTGTATTTACGTCACAAATGCGACTGTAATTTTTCTTTTTTTATTTCTTCCTTGTTAAAATGGATGTATCTCCCCCCACCCCCCGCCTCCGCAATGGCTTTTCTCTCCCCAGGCCCGTGGCGCGCGCGCGCCACATACAAAGTATCTTATTTGCTTTTGCGGGTTCTTGACTGAATGGGGTGAAATAACTATTCTCAAAAACTAAAAATCTACCCGGTTGAAGAACTGATGCTAATGCATTGTATGGGAATATTTATTCTGATCTATCCATTGCTAAGGCAAATCTGAAAAATTCCCATCGAGATAGCGTCAAAAATTATACGGACATCGGCGCCGAGTGGAACTGTACGATGATATCATGTAACGTTTATCAACACATCTTCGGCTCGTAAATATCACAAGTTTTTTCCGTTAGTTCACCATGGCTCAGGAGGAACAAGAATCGTCTAGCACAACCTCAGATACTGGTAAGAATATATATTTTATGTAGACTCCTGTTGAAAGGGTAATGTGAGAAAATGAGAAATGTTCCGCTTAGATCATTTTATGTATGTTGGTGACGTTGTCCCAACACGCTATTAGTGATTAAAAACGAGGACTTATAAAGATTGAATGAAGTCACTGCTAAAATCATATCGCTATACGACAGTCTGTTTTTCTTGGACAATAACCGTTTTCAGTTTACAACTTCTTTATATAATAAACATTTGCGTAGTGCCTTAAATAAAGTTCATTTCATGGAGAAAGTGCCTAAATGTTTATTTTATTCTTCATCGATCGATCCCGTTCGAACACGCAAAGAAAATAATTATCAGGAATATATTTATGTGGTCAAACGTGAATTAAAGAACTGTATAATTGTTGTGCTTTTGTCTCCTTGAAGAAGTGTCAAGAATCTCAAATAGAATCACTAAGAAATCTTTGGGGTTTCATCTCAACCTCTAAAAATCAGGGAAAAATTGGATAAAGACTTTGTTGTCATGCTGTAAGTTACATGTCGTGAAGCAGTGAAGCATGAAAAAGTAATTTATTCATTTGATTCGTCCGCTGTGTTTTTATGTTCATGTGCTTGTACAGTTTTACATGCAGGTATTGTTACTACATGTACATCTTTTCCCTATCGGTGATCTTCTCTGATTGAACAGCTTCTAGTAAATCTTCATTGAACCAAAATGACAGCGTACCAAAAACACTAACAAAAAAAATTGACGTTCTTGTAAATATCGCCAAGACATTTTTATCCATAAAAATCCATCTCCAAACAGTCACTAATCCATCGTTAATTTCGTTCAAAACAACCATCATACACCGCTCCAAAATAGTGTATACATATTTTCATTGATTTAGGGCTGTGCATTTTGACTCTATCATTATAGCACTGCGAGAGACTGAGTCATCGGGATAGCTTTCTTGCTCGAGTCGTAGTTCCATGAGGTAATTTAAAAATTAATGTCCACTTCAGTTTTTGGTTGCGATTTTTAACATGTTTTGATAAAAGCAAAACGTGAGGGGACAAATAATGTTGGTTCTGAGAAAAAAGATTTAAAATGTGATATCGCATGAAAATAAATAAATGAAAATATGCTACCTAATATTGCTTTTTCTTTTCTTCTTCTTACAACAACAACAAAAATACGTAAATGGATAAAAGAAAGAAAACAGAAATTTCATTATTTTCTTGGGAGGAAGGAAAGCTATATAAAACTCAAGACAGAAAATATATATAAAAAATTAAGAAATGATGGGGGTTTAATATTCAAATTATGATTAAATTTTGAGCTGGTAAATACAAAGAAAAATAATATTCTCCTTGCTTTTAAGGCTTATATATTGTGAGTACCAAAGTATGGTAAATAAATTTTAGGTTAAAACTACCTTTTGATGATAGTATTTAGTTCTATGTAAATAAGATTTTAAATGTCAAGCTCATTGATCATCGTTGCATATTTAACATGAATTTATTCATGATTGTCTGAAATATATACAAAGAGTTAGGAACGATGATAACTTTAATAAAATTCAGTAGAAGTAACATTTCTTTTTAATAATATACAAACACAGATGGATGGCATTACCTGCAACTTTGGAAAGTTTGAATCTTATCTTTCAATGAAATTTTGTCTTAACATGTCCTCAGCCTTTTATAAGAAGCCAGCTTTTATTTAGTCCAAAGAATTGCTTAGACACCATGACCTTGTGCGAATCATGAGTTTGACCGCTATGATCTTAAATGCTTTTATTTCCAAAAATGAATGAAAATTTTCACCCCAAGAGAAAATTATTATATTTAAATGTTAAAGTTAATTAGACTGGCCACTGTTTTGACGTGTCATCTGTATGAACTTTGAAATTTCTTATGCAAGTTACTTTGCATAAGTCGGAAAAATAATTTCATTACTAACACCCCCTCACCAAAAAGGATGTGACGCTCCCATTTTGATCCCTGAAGTAACCAAAATGATTCTTTTTTATGAATTTGGAGGGGGAAAGCTGCTGTTTCACCCTGGTCTGAGTCACTCCTTGACTGGCTTTTGTATATCAACCTGCAAAGTACAGACTCAAAACATGAGCACAATGATAAATTTATTATTCACTAAACTAGGATGTGTGTGTTTACTGCATACCTATATTCTTGCAGGAAGTAAAAGCAAGCTTGTATTTGAATCACACGATGTTGGCTTGTATTTTTTTTATTTTCTTGCTTACCTTCAGTATAATTGTGTAGTAGGCACTGGATAGTATGTTTGAATCTAGTGGCGACAAAACCCTCACTTCCCATGAAGGGTAGTACATTTGAGGGGTACATTAGTTGCCTCAGTGAGGAGCTATGCTTAAAATCTTAAATCTTTCTGTTCTTTTTCTTATTCAGCTTTATTTAAAAAAGTCATGGGCTTCTACATTTATAGTCAGATAAAAATAATTTGTTTATTGGTTTTGGGGATCCTTCTATATAAAATGACAGGTATGCTCTTTGGAAACAATCTGGGCAAGGTTCAGGCTTTTGTGTCGTAGGGGTGCTGGAGAGAGCGAAAAGTTGAAGATTCGTTGTGGACGCGCCTAAAATTAAAATTACTTGCTATTTTTAAGTCTATTTTTATTGGAATACCCAGCGGAAGCTAGCTTCTTCTGCTGGGGGAGAGCTCCAGCACAGTACGAGTATGATGACATTTGTTATTTTTATTAGGTTGTTCTTTTCGTGCAACCCCAAGCTATATCCTTCATCGGTAAAATATTGGCTTTCCGTCCAAGACACCCTAAATTAGACTGAAACCAGGAATTTCTACCCCAAAGCGTGACGACGAGCATCCCCGTCGTTTTTTATATGGATTCATTTGGAGTCCCCCCCCCCACCAGCGCCCCCCTGCCTGCCCCCCCTGTGAGCGTTTTCTTGGTTGCCGACAAGCAAGAAGGTCAAAGCAAAGCATTGTTGAAAGGTTCTATTTTCTACCTAGATTTCTTCACCGCGACCGCTTCAGCAATGCATGCAAGAAAAGGGAAGTCGCGTGTAATTGGCAAGATTTGTCGAGCATGAAATTTAACCGTGATCCGGGATTCGTGGTTAATTTATCCAAACAAACACATACACATCCCTTACTGAAAGTATATTGTTACATGATCTGTTTGGGAGATTACATGTGAGGAGAGTTTTGGTGTGATTTTTACCGAGTATAAAGGTGCGTTTTATAGCTCTGAAGCACAATTTGCGGAAACGGGAAGCAACGTCAAAGTTCAAGAATCCATTGGTGTTAAAGTACAGTTCGAGACTGGAAGGCCGCCATGTTGTTCCTACCAAATTTGTGTTGAGGTTGAAGCAAGTTGAAGAGGAAGTTAGGAGTCATCGACGGTATAAATAAGTAATGAGCTAAGTTATGCTGAAGAAGAAAACCAACCGGCTTTCTTTCTTTGGTAAGGAACTATGTATTTGTTTTTCATTTTGCCAATGAGGATAAAATTGTTTGCACAATCACTGTTTCGCGGGTTTCACGGGTTTCTCGAAGCTGATTCTTAGATATTTCCAGAGGTTTTCCTTACTTTTGATGCTGTTCGCCGCCGTTCGTATTCTGAGGTTTAGTCCGCCGTTCTGTTAGATTTCTACTTTAGTTTAAAGTTAAATGATAAATCGACTGGAGGATACTTTAAGATCTTTTATTAATTAAATAAGCTTAAGTAGATTTTTTTTCTGCCTTGGTGAAATTAGATTATTCTATGCTCATACTTAGTCATAGCGTATATTTATTCTTTGACGTCAACATTTTAACTTCTGACAATTTTTTCTGTCAGACTAATCAGCCGCGTGAACAAGGGATTCGAACCCTAGATAGAGGAAGATAGAGGTCTTTGTTTTTTACACACAGGGAAAATCCCAGACAGTGAGAAGAGAGGATTTCTGGTTAGATTAGACAGACGCTGTGCAGATTAACTCAAAAGCTTTATAATAACAATTCGTAGATGGTTGCTGAGAACTTTTTATCATAATAAGGAACCATATTTTTCTAATTTTAACCCGATTTCAGAGGGCTAGTGCTCATTTGTCTGCCAGTGTGACGTTGGAAGCTTGTTGTGTGTCTTAGCTTGTCACTGAAGAATGCCTCCTGGCCGTGTTTTCATCACCTTATTTACTCAAATAAGTGCCCAGGTGCTTAATGAAGGTGGCTCAACTGGGTTTTCCAGGGGCAATACCTCCCAGGTTTTAAGTATTGACAAAGATTTGGAAAAGTGATAATCACAGTTGTATTAGAAGGGAGTTTGTTGTTATCAGTGCTGGGAGTGGGGTGGGTACTCCATATATGGGCCAAATAGTTATGTGCCAGCCATTAGGGTTTTGTTTTTGAGGGTTCGAACCTTAAATAGGGTCTCATTTTTACCCATTTTGGCATCATTTTCTCCCTGTTTTCCTTAGATAGGGTACCTAAATAATATTGTTAAGCTAAAATTCAAGTGCGTAAATGCCCAGCTACAAAAGAAACAAATTTGTTGTTAATACTGAGCTATCCTTTAGAGTACTAGGAAAGTGATTTAATGAATTCTATTTTTTCCCCCTTGAATAGGGTGTCATTTTTCAGGTCTGGGCATTAAATAGGGTTCATTTGTCTCATCTTTAAACAAGGTCAGGGTAAATTAAGACCCTCTTTAGCACACTCCTATCCATAATTTATGGGGGTGCCCCTTATTCCCCCTGTTGGGTATAAGTGTTACGTTGACTTGGAAGTTGTTATAGTAATACAATGATGTCATTATCTATTTTACTTGTAGCCATAATTATTTCTCTCTTCTTGCAAAGTCTTGGATTTACCTCTCTTTCAATCTATCCAGATCCAATGGTTAAATAGTTACACATCAATATTTCTGTCATGAAAGATATTGTTCATTTTGGATAATGTGTATGAAGGGTTTCGTTAATAGTTTGCCTAGCGACCGTCACTTAGATATTGATCACCATGTTTCAACGGCATACTGCAGGTGTTCTTCAGGTGATGGTGTCGATTTACTGAGTAGGACTATTTGTACTACCATGGTTGTTAGTGATCGGTGTATCATGAACCTCGCTTATTATTACGCAGTCAAAACGTTGCGATGAATATCTAAGGCCTGTTTCAAACGTCGTGCTACTGCCGTGCTAAGCTGGCTCGGCTGTAGCTCAACTGAAGCATGACACTAGCACGACTTGGTTTCAGACGTCGAATTTAATTCACACAATGACAGTCGAATGGAACGGCTGTTGCCAAAAACAAAACACAAAAATAAAGGAATGGTTTAGCAAACTTTTAAATATATTGTAATGTATTTACAATTTATAAAGTGAGTTAGGCACAGCGGTAGCATGACATTTGAAACCAAGTCTTGGTTTCAAAGGGCGGGCTACTGCCGTGCTAAAGTCGAATTTAATTCGGTCAATTGAGTTTGGCACGGCAGTAACACGACATTTGAAACGGGCCTAAGTGACAATCGTGCGACGAACAATAAATGAAATCATTTATCGCTAACCCTTTAACCCTATTTGTCAGTAGTTAGCCGTATTTTAATTTTGTTTTCTCTTTAAAAATAATGTCAGGACCTGGTGCTAGTTATGAAGAACCCAAAATTAAGGCCATCGACATAGCTGCTCTTCTACAAGAAAAATATGCTTTCTTGTCTGGTAAGTAAAGTGTTCAGCTTTAAGCAGTACATGGGTTGAAAGAATATATTTTATTAATTTAACTTGAAAAAGAAGCCGCTTTTTATGAGTCAAGTAGCTGCCACTTTTATGTTGACCATTCCTCAGTGCTTAATGAAAGCATTGGGTCATTGATTTTATGCCAAGATATCATGGCACTCATAAGTGACAAATCTGTCAAACCCGTTTTATATTGTGTTTTATAATAATTTTATTGTAAGTGAATAATCTTGATGTGAAGCTTTGACTTACTTGTTTACTTTAAGCACATTATATATTAACATTATTGTAACATACAATAGAACCCTCCATCATGGTTTTTTCAACTTTTGACTGGGACCAAAATACCAAGAATCTAGCTGCACTGTATAAAGGAATGCCTTTAAATTTTTTTTAGTGAAAATGCCAAGGTTGAATGTGATTATTTTGCTGTGAAAACTGATAAAGATAAAGTTCCGCAAAGTCACCAATTTTACAGATGTTCGTATGGTGGGGGAAAAGTTTGTGTCCCCCACCTAATGTCTGTAAAATACTGGTTAAACTTAATTTAGTTACTTGATACTATTGTGAAATCCTTTATTTTGAAATTTTTAGGGGCGCAAGCTAAGAATGGATGTCTTTTTATCACAATGCCTGAACACCCCAAGTTTGGAAGCCTTAGTGATAGAGATGCTGAAAAAATTTTCAAATATCTTGTTGGATTGGCCAGGTACTTGGGCTATTGTTTTTAATTTTTTCAGGAAAGAAGTCACTGTTGATAGTGTTTCACGAGTATGCTATTCCATACCTTCCAGTTAAGTTGAATGCTTTCTTTTTTAAAAGGAAGGCTTGCTGTGGGTCTAACCAAAAATGTTTAATGTGGGAGTTAAGAGTATTTTTACCCATGTGGACAACACAACATTGTTAAGGACACATCAAAACTGAAAAATGTTCCCGGTTCCCACCCGTTTTTTTTTTTCATGGTCACCTCTCTTTATTTAATATTTTTTATTGGAAAAGTTCATGGAACAAACGAAGACAAACATGGATTACTTTCAAAACCAATATTCCATAATCCTGTGTAAGTGCAGGTGTTACTATTCATTAGTGAAGCATCAATGTTAAATACTAATCCTATATTGATTGCACCCTTCCTATTAAGATATAGCATAATGAGGCATTAGGTTGTTTAAGACATGCGTCAAAATGAACCAATTTTGTGTTTAATCAACATCTGGCCTTTTTTTTATTAGTATTTAAGAAGAACTCAGTATCCATCATATATCCCTGGGAGAAGATAATAATTTGTAAGGAAAGCATTAATTTTAATTGGCAACAACAAAAAAGTCAGAAATATATAAAAAAGTTCTTGCCCGCTCTCTTTCTATTAGAAATCCAGAGAAGAAATGTTTTTTTAACTCGGCTCAATGTTTAAGTTGGTGGTCGACGTTTTTTTTTAATATATCACTGCCTTGAGGTTTAGTTAAAACTGTATTTTTTTCCTGACATTGTAGCAGAGAAATGCTCCAGAAAGGTTTTATGTTGGTGCTTGACAGAAGAAAAGAGAAGTGGGGTGCAGTAAAATCCTGTCTTCAGAAAGTACAGGTATTGCTGAAATAAATAATGAAATAAAATATAATTCATGGTACAGTTCAATCAACCTTGATTGTTTGGGCTAGGACTTGCCAGACCTCTCTCATTATCTGGACTTTTTCTTCTGTTTCCTTCGTGAAGATCAGAAGTTACAAGCCAACAACAACGGCAGTTAATTCAGTTTGAAATAGTTTACAATAATGATGTTACCCACAAGAAGCAGAGCTATTCTCTGTGGCTAACAATGTAATGTTATGGTAGTCTCCTAGTAATAATAACAAAGTTCAGAAGTTGGAAAGAAAGAAAGCAAATGAAGAGAAAGCAAAATGAGGTAGCGCAAGTAGCACAAGCTTTGAAAAATGTCTTTGAAGCAGTTTCTTTTTTTTCGTTTTTGAGACTAAAGAGTTGGACTCACATTTAATGATGAAATACATCCAACTGAATGCTGAAACTGAGCTATCATTAAGCTCTGCTACAGATGACATTTTATCCAGTGTACTGATAATCTTTTTTTGAAATGATAAAAGTAGTGACAGCATAATATTATGTTATTTTAGTAGTATCACTAGTAGTTATGTCTTAAAGGTTTCCTTGAGAGCGCAATTGTGTACATTGACAGAAGTCAAGCTGGGGATTGTGTTTAGAACAGGAAATAGACATGGTAATCAGTAATACCAATGCCTGGTAAATTCCAGCTTGTCCTTTGAGCAAGCAGCTATATATATTTAAATAACAGTATTCTTGGTTTTTTTTTGCTTTTTTCTTAGAAATGCTTTCCAGCTAAAATAAGCATTGTTTGCCTGTTGAAGCCACAAGGGTTTTTTCAAAAGTATTCCAAGCCAGGCTTTGTCACAGATGGCATAATCGGAGATGCCAAAATTCAGGTGTGGTAAATCCTTTGAAAGTGTAATCTTACTCAAAAACAAGAAATGTGGAATGGTAAATAAATCTGTAGCTTGAGGTATTGGTGAAAAAGAAGGGAGGGGGAAAGTTGGGATAGTACTTAAGAATAAAACAAAGATTCAATTCACCGGAAAGAAAACCTTTTTGCACACAAGCTTTTGATTCAACCGTGAAATCTTTATCAAGTGTTGTGCTTGGATGTTTTGTCGCATGATTTATACTGTGAATCACCTGACAATATGCTCTGGTAGATTGCGAGTAGCTTGTAACCAGTTAGTAACCCAGTACCCCACAACAGTAGTCATTGGTACGTATCTAGTCATAGTAATAAGCCCTCACACTTTCAATTTGAGCTTCCTCGTTAGAAAAATATTTCTAATTCTTTTAGTTATGTAATTTGCATCGCCTTTAACCTTGTATGCCATGTTATGATTGAATGACTGATTTTTTTCAGGCAGATAAATAATCTCAAACTGAAACTTTCACAACCCCATTCTCCAAACATTTTTCCCATTTACAGATGATAAGGAACAAGGAATTTGCTTTTAAATCATGACATAATAAGGACCTTTTTTATTGTTTTAGCAGTAATGGGAAAATTAGTTGTCAGGAATCTATTAGCAGTCAAAACAAAGTCAGTACCAAGTATCTCTATAAAAATATTTACAAAATAAATATTTACTTGTATGGCAGTTTTAAATCATTATTTTGTCGTCAATCAGTTACCTAGTTCTTGAATCAAACCTTTGTCTCAAAGCTCTTTCTTTTTATTTTTGTCTAAATTTAGGTTGTCTCTCTTGGTTCTCCAAGTGATTTGGAGGGATACATTGATAAATCCATGCTTACTGAAGAATTAGGAGGCACCCTACAGTATAAACATGCTGAATGGGTTCAGTTTAGAACAGTAAGTTTTTATGATATAAATCTGTGAACAAACCACAGTTAACTTTGTGTTCATCTGTGAAAAAGTGTTGAATAATGCTATTCATGTATATATTTCAAAAATACAATGATGTATAATATTTTCTAACAAAATAGCCTTAATCATCCTAATGCCTTCCTTGGTTGAAATGCTTGAAATATTTTTTTTGCATCAGTGGGCTTCAGTAAAGGATTTTAGCCAGGAATTTACTCACTGTAAAAAGGCATAGTACTTCAATTCTTAAGCCAAGAATTCCTAAACCAAAATGTCAAATTTCTCTCTAAAAACTTAGGGTCGGTTATTTAAAGGGTCAGGTTCACAGTTAGGCACATGCTCATTAATTAAATTACTTTTTCCAATTTATTATTAATTCTATTGGTTAACAATAATCCCACTCACATGTATGTCAGCAATGTCAGAGTGTAAATTCACTCAGAGTGTATTTCAAAGTAGAAGTGCATTTCAGAGTAACCTGAAGTAGGATGGAGGAATACTAAAATAGCAGAGAAAATTAGTGGATTATGCCAATGCTACCAACGTTGAATTTATTGTTGACNTTTATTATTAATTCTATTGGTTAACAATAATCCCACTCACATGTATGTCAGCAATGTCAGAGTGTAAATTCACTCAGAGTGTATTTCAAAGTAGAAGTGCATTTCAGAGTAACCTGAAGTAGGATGGAGGAATACTAAAATAGCAGAGAAAATTAGTGGATTATGCCAATGCTACCAACGTTGAATTTATTGTTGACGTGAAGGTTTTATTCCATAGTTGATTAATTTACAGCTATTTGCAAATAATTATTTAAGCTGATCAAGTGCGAGTGCATGACTGCCAGGGGAGTGTGCAGATTGGTTTTTTGACAATACTATGACATGATCATATTGCTCGCATCGTATCATAAAGCATGTATACCAGTAGAAAAACAGTATTTTGATAAATGAGCTTGCGGTGAACCGTAAATGTGTCCCTCTAATCAAAGCCTAACTTAGGCCGTGGTTTAAGAAATTATTGGACCTCCGGATTTCTTTCTTTGTGGGTTATAATATGAAAATAAGTGCTTTTCCAGTCTACGCTATATGCTTTAATGAATTTGTTCATGATAAATGTTGCTTAGATGAAAGCATTGGGCAAATTGAAAATGGCTTAGACTGTAGTTTTGTTAAACACGGGCTAAACTCAGTTTAAATAACAGGCCCTTAGTGTCCAAATTAGAACCCTGCAGCTTCTCTTCTCTCACCTTTTTCCAGGAGTTCACACCTTCAATAATATTGCTCTTATAGCCTTATAAGAATAAGCCTTGTTCTGATTTTATCACCCACTAACTACATGTAACTATTTTTAGGCAGTTGAAAGGTTTCAAAGAAACTTACTTTCCTTTGATGAGAGGATGAAAAAACTATGTCAGACTTTCACGGGAACAAAACTTTCGTCAAACATTTTTGAAATGGAACAAACTATAGAATCACAAGAAGAAATGTGGCAGGATGTTAAGGAGGACATTGTTAGTGCACGCCAAGCGGGTGTTACCTTACTGGACTGTATTACAGTGCATCGTAAATACAGAGAGGACAGTGATAAGTTTACTCCTGATGTGAAGGCAAATGCTGCAGAACTTAAACAAGCGTTGACACAACTTGAGGATTTGGAAAATAATTTTAGCAGGTTCTGGAAAGAACACAAGCTAAAAATACAGTATTGGCTGAAAGTGTGTTTATTTGAGAGGGAAATGAGCCAGGTATGAAATTTTTGTTGTTGTTACATGCAAAATATGGGTACATGTGTATTTGGCAGCTGTTACTCAATTTGAAAATACAGACTGAACTCGTAAGAGTAAATGTGCTAACAATGCTGTGGTGGTCTCTTTTCGTTACCTCATTTTCCATTTGAAGAGACATTGTTCCAGTTGGTGGATACAATGTATGTACCCTGCGAGTAGAGGTTTCTCTCCTGTATATGGCTTTTAGCATTTGTGAAGTTTTCAGGTGGCATGTCTGTCCCGTAGTTTGGATTGTTAAGGCATGCAAACGACTTTGCAATGCTTAAAAGCCATGCAAGAGAGAAACTTCCACTTGCAGGGTATGTTATGTTTGTGGGGTGAAAAGACATTGTGTGCCCTGCACGAGTGAAGCTCCTCATTAAAATGATGGTGGTGCTCAGTCTTCTGTAACATTTAATTTTCTTGGCTTCTTTCATTCATTGGTTTCAAAGTTATTTTTTCATTGCATGACAGTGAAAACACTCCATTCATTGCTAGTAAGCTCATCCCCTCTCACAGGACTATGTGTCTCAGAGGACTATGTGTCACTCCAAGCATGTCTTTCACCTTTCCTTTCACAGTAACTGTAATATAATCACAAGCCCAGGGAGACTTACATTTATTAAATATGTTGAATGATGCTTATTATTTTTGTAGACAACAGGGCTTCTCCTGTCAGCATTGGGTAATGTGTCAGCCATGACAGATTTAGGAGATTCTAAAGAAGATGCAGAGTCATTAGTGAATGATGTTAAAAAAGTTGCCGAGAAGACTACTGTAAGTGGACTACTTTTGTATATGTCCAACCAGCAAACGTAGAATTATCTAACATAGGAACAAACAAGGGTTAAATTGTCCTTAACTTTTTCTTATTGTAGGCATTACCCTTGTCTGCTCACCCTGGCTTGAAAGTTCCTTGAGTATTAAAAGGAGTTATTGAAAAGTCCTGAAATGCGTTATATTGATCTCTACCTGCTGTTGTGGGGGAGGGGAGGAGCGTTGGGTGAGGGAGGGATATACAAACTTATTAGGAATTTGGGGGTTGGGATTAAGGTGTTAACTGTGGTTCTAGTTTGTACACCTCTAGTCATTGCCTTGCTCAACTGGAATTCTTGGGTGAATTTAATTCCCCTTCATTATCTCAGCAGTGGCTCTTCAGTCCTGTGAATAAACTATGAAGGGCTAGCCTGAAACAATACTGTCTCACTGAAGTATCTCAGCTCTTTTATCTCAGGGTAAGGGGATGGGGAAGGAGAGAGAAAGGAGTTCCCTCATTCACCTGTCACCCTCACTTCTTGGTTGAGAGAGCTTGCTTGCAAACTAAACAAGGGCTGACCTTGTTGTACTGCTATGCAGATATTAAAGAGAAGCAAACTTGAAGGTTCCTGATGTTATTCTTTTGCAGGAACTCCTCGACAAAGCAAAAGGCTTGATTGAAAAAGGACTAAAAATGATAGAAACCAATGAGCATTCAAAAGACCAGATCAAACAGAAGTGTGACGAAATAAAAGAACTGTGTGACAAGTTTGATAAAGCTGTGGAAAAGAGAGAGGAGGATCTGAACAAAGCAATGGACATACATGATTGCCTGGATATGGTGAATTCTTACTTTAGTTTTTACTTTATAATGTAAAGAATAAAAGTAATTTCATTTGAAGAATGTCAAAGCAACTAGCTGATGAAAAAAAGGCCAATGGCTTGCAATTTGTCTGTAAATTACCCCGGACAAGTTCCTGTTCCAGAATTATAATTATGTTTTGAAGGTGTGTTTAGGTAGCATAATCTACAGAGTTCATTACAATATTTTACCAATTTAGTTGCTTTGGGTCAAGTGATTGATAGGTACTTTTACAAGATGAAAAATCCAAAATTTATCAACGTGTAAATAAATAATATCTTAAGGCAGGAATGACAATATTAGTTTAGTAAGAGCTAAAAGAACTTTTCTTTCTTGGTGGTTATCATGTAAACAGTATGAAATGATGAATATATGGAGCAAGAGTGGTGAAATGGTAAGAGCACTTGCCTCCCACCAATGTGGCCTGGGTTTGAATCCTGGTGTCGATGACATATGTGGGTTGAGTTTGTTGTTGGTTCTCTCTCTTGCTCCAAGAGGGTTTTCTCTGGGTACTCCTGTTTTTCCCTCTCCTCTAAGAACTGCTAAGTGTTATTACAAAAATCATAAAAGTACAAAAACTACAATTTCGTATATTTGAACTGTGGGATGCGGAAATAAATGCAGTGAATTTTCTCAAGCTTTCTTTTCAGAACTGCATCAGTTGCGTATTTAACAGTACTGTGATCTTCTCTGCATAATTTATTTCTTCATCCCATAGTTCAAATATATGAAATAAATATATTGATCAATTCATCTTCATTTTCATCATTCCCTGGTATATTATGAACCAATTTAATGACGAGCTGCCTGTTGCCTTACTACAACTAGGTGCAAAAATGTTGAGACAATCCAACAAAAATCTGACCTTTTTTACTTCAAATCTCTGCTAGTCACCTCCCTCCTACCCTCCATTCAAAGTTGTTCCTGAGCATGGTCTTGTATTGCTAGCAACTTTGATAAGAGGAGGAGGGGGGATCACGAGCAAAAGTTCATGGGCAGGCCATTTAAGCCAACATAAGGTACAGTGCCTCACATACTTTTGCAACTGGTTGTAACTCAGTTAGTTAGAGTGTTACCATGGATGTCAGGGTTTGAATCCCAGTAAGCCTGATTTTTTTCAGGCTTTCTTTTCGCAACTACGATGATGATCTTAAACTGTATTTTTTACCTTATGAGAATGTAAAAAAAATTAATGATGTCAGCATTCAAAAAAATGAAACTTCTTCAGCTGGGTGATTTTACATAGTTAACAAGATTGTCATCTAGCAGTGCTCACTGGCCTCTGGCACCCAGTTACTTTTTCTTTTTGGTGACTAGGGAATTTTTCATATGCTTGTCACCCTTGATTTCAAAGGTCCAGAACACTAGGCACTCTTGAATTTTTCTAAGACCACAGCCTTGGTTAACATTTTGTTTGTTTGTTTTTTTGGTCCGAAACAAATTGAGTATTGATTTGCTCTTGAAATTTTGGCTTTGACATCTTGTTGAGAGTGAAAGGTTAAGAAAATCTGCAACTTTTTATGTCTAGGTTAACCAATGGTGCAAGACCGGTGTAGACCTTCTAGCTTTACAACCCATAGACAGATTCCAGTCATCAGAAGGGGCAGAAAAAGCTCTAGAAGAAATTGATAACTTCCTAAAGAGTCCACAAGGGATGAATATGATTAAGGTTAAGAAGATGACCCCTGCCAGTAATGCTCTTGGTAACAAAACACTGATAAACAAGGTGAAAGACAGTATGAAGAGAATCAGCGAGGTCAATGATATGATGATGAAGCGGGAAACCAGGTAAGTTGATGGTGTAAATGGAGAGATGATAGTAAATATCATCTTACTGCAGTGATGCTTCAGGCCAGCATTCTACACTCTGGTAAATTGTTAGGGTTTTTACCCAGGGAACTGTCTAGGGAAGCCTTATCCTTTGAAAGTTTTGTTGAGCGGCATGCCGAAAATGCAGGTCATTTTCCACAAGTTAGAGTACAGGTCACCATGCTTCAGATAATTAAACAGCACCAAAAGTGTCTCCTAGCCCTGATCTCTTTACAAAATTGGTCTTTTAGATCGAGGGGAAACTGTGAAGCTCATTGATTTATCTATGAAGCCATGACCTCTACTCTTGACATGTTGAGTGTGAACTGTACTTTAGACCCTGCATTTTTCGAGATCCCAGCTTAAGGGATAAATAGAGTTTTATGCTCATAATCCGTGGGAAGGAGCTTTAACACTCTTGTCATTCTAGAGAAACAGAAACTCTCTTATTCTTTAAGTGAACTATAAAGGCTTGTGCATAGTTCCGACTTTTGAGTCTGTAGAAAAACTCCAGCCATGTAACCACTGGTTATAAAATTAATTATACCATAATACCTATATATTTCTAGGGAAGGGGATGGGAAATTTTGGATTTTACGTTATGATTATCTACCTGATAGTTGTATTTGGTTTTGGTTTTATTTCAGTTTGAAGAAGCTAGTTGTTAAGCGTCCAGTACAGCCTGTATCAGGAGTACCAGCCAATCCGCCGCAACCCGAGGAATCTAAACGTAAAAGTTCTACCCCGAAGAGTCCCTCAGTAATTCCTGATGGGAAGCGAAAGTTTAGTATGGCACCAAAGAGTCCCACGATCAAGAGTCCAGTTATGCAACCCAAAGAGCGAAAGAAATCAACACCGCCTGAACCTTCAACAGGAAGGCGACCTGTGTCCATTGTGCTCGACCCACAATCACTTCAACTGAAAGGAAGCATACAACAGTCTTTCTCTGATCCTATCATTCAAACGGTGGGTAATATGATTCTGAGTTGGTTTAGTATTTATGAATTTACAACGTCTCAGCAGGGGTAGGTGTTCTTCACTGAGGCTCTAGTATGGTTTTTGGGTATTAGGTAATTTAATAGCACTCTGTGATGACCCAAGTGAAATTAATATGGCTTTTTATCATGTGTCATGATAGTCACTGTGTTGTTGATCACTATGTTTTGTCCTCACATTGCTGGTCTTCAGCACACTATCATGTTGATTTACTGTGCAGAACTGGTAGTAGCGGAGTTCCACGCGCAGGCAAAGTGCACTCAAGTACAGCCCCATAGCTAAGAAAATTTGGTTATCTATCCATCTGAGAAATTTTGGTAGTCACATTACCGTACATTCACATCACAGGGAAACCAATATTAAATCTCACACTTTCTAGCTAGTGTGGGAGCCTACTACCTGATATTACACATGCATGTTGCGGTCAATTGACAGCTGTCAAAACAAGGTATCTGCTGGCCAGTATCACATGACCATATTGTGGGCTCAAGTGTTGACCCATTGAGGTTAAGTGTTGTTTTTTTTTAAGTTATCTGTTGACAAGTTACTTGAATGTTTAGGATTGGTCGCAGGCTTAACTCTAAGTGGATTTCTTTGCGATGGTTACAAGTTTTTTGCTGAAGTAAATTTATTAACAGGAGCTCAGCTTTTAGCCTTGGGTAAATCTATATTAGTACTGCCTGCACACTCTTAAAAAGTCCTTGAAAATCGAATGTGGTCCTTGAAAAGCCCTTAAATTTCTAAGCTAGACCTTTAAAAGTCCTTGAAATTTCTTCACCTTTGAATATGTTGGTCTTGAAAGTGTTTCTTAAGCTATTTGGTTGTCCAAGAGAGAATGTGAATCATAGCCCAGAGAATTTAGAGGTGATTTTAAGAATTAAATATCAATTTAAGACAAGTTTAAAGGGACTGGTGTAACAAACAGTTCAAACCAAAAGTCCTGGTAGCTTGGACTGGGAATGTACATTCATACCCAAATCTGTAACTTACATTCCTGGTAGGGTGGTCTTTGTTATCCTTGGAAAGTCCTTAAAAAATTGTTGCAATTTTTTGTATGAACTCTGTATTAGAAACGTGAAACATCAGGGAGAGTGCTGGGAATTGAAGTGACATGAAGTTTTCAAAGCTAATTTTAAAACTCCTATTTTGTTCTGCTACATTTTTCAGAGAGATGTTGTGGATGGTACAACAAGTCCAGAAGCTTTTAGGAAGCGAGTCCAGGTCATGACAGAATTAATTGAAACAGAGAAAGACTATGTAAAGGACATGGAATGCATCATTAAGGGTTATCTTAAAGAGTTTGAGCAAGCCGGGAATAAGATCCCAGCTGAGTTGCATGGCAAGAAAAAAATCATTTTTGGAAACATTGAACAGATTTATGAATTTCACAAGAATGACTTTTTACGTGAGCTGGAATCAAGCAAAGAGCAGCCTTCTCTTGTTGGGGGTGTTTTCATTATGAAAAGCAATGAATTTGAAATGTATGCAACTTACTGCAAGAATAAACCAAGCTCTGAGGCACTGAGACTGGCGTACATCAATTTGCCGTTTTTTAAGGTGAGATAATTGTTGGATTGCAACAACCCTGACCCAGAGATATTTTGGAATGTTAATGTATCACAAGGAACATAGAAAACAACTATGCGGGAGATAACTAAATTGCAAGCAGCGTCATTAATAATAAGGTGGACTCATTCAATGGATGGATTTTTTTTTTGTGTAAGGTTGTAAAACGATAGAAAGTTCCAACAGGCAAAAAATTACCATACCTATTTACTGCAAATAAATCCACCTTTAGTTGTGGTTTTGGGATTTACTTGTTTCTTCTGAATTCCGATAAATTAGATTGGTCAAAATGTATTTAAAGTTCCCAATTAAGAGAAAATATTTCAAGTGGTGTCTATAGTTTACTTTGCTACCTAAGACTATTTTCATCTGCACAATAACTTCTTCTTACCAGCTTAGCAATTTAATCCAGGACTCGAAGCCAAATCGCATAAACAAAGCCAGTTTACTCCAAATTTATACCGACTTCTGTCCATGATATTTTCAAACAATCTAATCGGATGGATTGCGCCATACTATGAGCTGTGTCATTTGCATTATACAAACTGGCAACTAAACATTTGCATCTGGCGATTATATTTCTCCAGTTAGTCGCCAAAAGGCAACCTGAGGATTTTTTTAGTGTCAAGCCGTGTAATCTTTTTTGTATTTTTTGGATGAGAAACAATAAGTTTTTATGTGTTTAAAATTTCAAGTTGCTGGGCTAATGACACAAGTAGACGGGGAATCCAACAGTTGGGAATTTTGTTTGGTTCCCTTTTTCTTCAATTTTTCCACAAAAGAAGGCTGGGGTCAGCTTCACAATAGCTGGGAAAAATTCCTTGCCCTCAGCCCTTAATGACAGCCCTGTATTACCGTAGTCCTTTTTTTATGCTATTATAATTATTTCTCCCTTACAAAATAGCCACAATGCTTCTTGTTGTTTGTTTCTTTGTTTTGTTTGTGAGCATCATCACTTGTTGTTGTGGGTGAATGTGTTAAAATGGATTTCAGATGTGGGCTTTTCCTGTAGCGTTAGGATTGGGTTATTTTTATTAATTTGATAAATGTAATGTGATTTTTTTTACAGGAATGTCAAGATAAACTGGGCCACTTACTTCCTTTGAGTGCATATCTTCTCAAACCAGTTCAGAGAATCACAAAATACCAGCTACTGTTAAGAGAGATGATGAAGCTGACACTTAAAAACAGTACTGCTTATGATGACCTTGAGGTAACATTAACTATAGCAATGGATTTTTGTACAAAAATACGTGGACAAAACCTACGCCAGATTCAGACTTCAAGGTGTTAACTGCCCGGCTCCACAGGCCTCCAGTTTGAGTAGCTGTAGTCAGGAGCAATGATTGTTGATACTGGTATACAGTCAACTCTTTCCAAAATGGAAGCCTTTGGGTGTGGCACTAATTTAGTGTTCACCTTAACCCTTTAAGCCCTAAGAGTGATCAGCATCAAATTTCTCCTTGTAATATCAATGCTTTGAAAACATTCTGTAGTCATGAGAATTACATATGTGATCACACAAGATGAATTTGCTTGATATTTTATCAACTTCCCCCCACTACTTCTGTAGGAAATGAATAGGAGCAACAAATGAGAATTCAAATTTTGATCTTAGGGTTTAAAGGGTTAAAGGGATGTCCTTCTTGTAGAGAGTCAATTAAAGGGAGTAAAGAAAGGCGGGGACCAACTCTAGATGTCTGTTTTACAGAGATGTACATCTTATAGAGGTATTCGTTAAGAGAGAGTCGACTGTACCTGCTGATATAATATAATCAGCAGTCATTCACGAAAGAAGACTTAGATATATGCTGGTCACTGCTGACAAAGCAAAAATGAATACGAGTAGTGACTGAGCCACTTCTGTGGGTGCGAATTCGTGGCTATTCTCTCGTTGGGCGACCAAACAAAACCTCCATGCACTGATTAACTTTCTCAAGGCATTGGGATGTACACAGATGAGCTAACTAAACATTGTTTTGGAGGTGAAGAGTGGAAATGGCCTGGGCTACTCACTTGAAGTGAATGATTGATTGATTGATTGATTTGTATAGTATGATTTGACATTGTAGTGTGAAAGATGTCTTTGTCACTGTCTATTTTTTGTGAGTTCAAAGGGGTGCTTATTATGTTTGCACTTTTAGTGAAAGGGCTAAATGCCGTTGTTTTTATTTTTCATTCTTCTATTATTTTAATAATGCAAAGTATATTGTGTTTGTTAAATATAACAGAAAGCTCTTGAAACAATGCAAGGTGTGTTGAGGCATGTAAATGATGTAATGCATTCCTGTGGCATTAAAGGCTTCCGTGGCAACCTTGCAGAGCAAGGAAAGCTGCTTCTTCAGGATGCATTTATGGTTTATGAGACACACAAAAACTGGAATTTACTACCACTGAAAGGTGGCAAGCAGCGACAAGTCTTTTTGTATCAAAAAATGATCATATTCAGCAAGAAGGATAATGATGACACTCAAAAAGATTCAGTGACGTATCATTACAAGAGAGATATCAAGGTTTGGTAGTTCAGAATTTTATGCCTATTTTTTCCTTGTGTGTGACTGTTTTCAAAGAACTATTTTATAGGTCCTTTATTCAAGGTCACTACTCATTATTAAGGGGTGGTTTTTTGGTTTTTAACCCTTGAAGCCCTTAGAGTGATCAGCATCAAATTTCTCCTGGTAATATCACTGTTTTGTAAAACAGAGTGGTCATGAGAATTACGGACATGATCACACAAGATGAATTTGCTAGATATTTTATCAACTTCTCCCCACTACTTCTGTAGAAAATGAATAGAAGCAACAAATGAGAATTCAAATTTTGATCTTAGGGTTTAAAGGGTTAATGAAAGGGGCTGTGGATCACCTCTGTCTAGTTCATTTTGTTAATAATGCCAGTTACGAATCCTTATTTGCTGTGGAACTTGAGAAGAAAATTACTTGTGAATGACAAAATCTTAGCTTTGTTTCAAACAAATATGTCTCCCAAGCATTAAATCAAACATGACGAACAAAAAAGTTGTTGGGTCTCATATTTTTAGCAGCAGTTTAAGGCTTGTTCGAACATTATTTTTAATCATGCTGCTGAAGGACCACATGAACAGGTTAACAAATTTTTAGGCCAACAAGATTTCAAGAAACCACCCATTTCAGTCTCCTTTGAATTTATATATTGTTCATATGTATCTTGTTTTGTATTTGCTGTGTTATTTATACCTTCTTTGAATGTTTTTAACCGTTTCACTGCCAGAGTGCTTGATATAGTTTTGTAAGGTGACTCTAACTTTTGAGTCTGTGGACGAAATCCTATGATGTGACCATTCAGATGAAAGCTCTCTGCCTGTACTTTCATATGATGCCATTTGTTTCTCAAAATTTTAGAAAAAGAAATTTGGAACTTTGGTCGAAATTTGCCTTTGGCCACCTTTGGCAGTGAAATGGTTAAGCAGTTATTTTTATGTTATCCCTTCAGTTTGGTGTCAGTTCCCACCATTTGAATTTTGAGAAATATTTTTTTTTCAATGCAGCCCACTCTCCTAAAGTTCCCTTCACTGTCAATATTATTATGTTTACATCAAAATTATTGATCAATATTTAGATTCTGTTTGATATGAAGTTGCAGAAAACTATTCCATGGGTCGTTAATTTGAAGGATATGCTAATCCAGGATCAAAACAAGACCTAAGTCCTGTAAGCCTTGTGAGTTTGAGTACAGTCTCCACGTTGTTCTCAGTGCAAATTTTGCTTCTTAACGTGTGATTCCACAAAATATCCGTAGCCTATTTTTTAAGGCAAAGAGACAATTTAAGGATGTGCCAATAATAACCTGCCCATTCATATTATAACAAACAATAATGAGGGCAATAATATTTCAGAAATGTAGACTCCAAACAAAATTGACCACAATATTCTTGACTGTGTTTTATTACATTACATTGCTTTTTAATTTCCTAGACTTGTGATATGGGATTTACAGAGGCTGTAAAGGATGACCCAGACAGGTTTGAGCTTTGGCTTCATGGACGGTCAGAAGTGTTTGTCATGCAAGTGAGTTATTAGCTTTTGTCTATTTTGACCGGCAGGTTTTTGCCTTATACACCCTCATGTAAATACTTTGTGTACTGCTTTCCACACTTTCCCTATGCTATGGTTTATTATGGATATTTTGAGAATCAACACCAAGTTTGTTTGGCTAACAAATTTTTTTTCTTGAAAAATGAAATGGAGAACTTAATTTTTTTTTGTGATGGAGTCTTAAGCTTTTATCAGGGGTCCTTTGTAATGTACTTATTTCAGGACTGTCACTAAGGGCCAGGTGCTGGGAATTTTCCCCGCCTACTATATATGTACACACCCCAGGGCTACTTTCAAGTAAAAAATGGAGAAAACAAGAACCAAAAGAAATCCCTAGCTGTTTGATTCTCCACCTAATTATTGTATTTACCCTGTGACTTGAAATCATAGTGACAGCCCTGTTATTTATTTATTTATTT